AATCTGAGCCCAAATATAAAGTTAAAATCAACAAAGTAATGTAGGAAATGCACATCTTTTCTGCAACAGAAATAAATCCTTTCTGACATCTCAAATCGGTGTCGATCAAGGTCTCCAAAACGAACAAGAAAAAGAGCAATTATGTTGTGTTTATGTAGAATAAGTGATTAGATTTATGAGCAATCTAATTTCTTATTCCTTTAAACTGACATTTCAGCTGCAAAAGATCGCACCAGAGACAGCACTATCTCTGCTTGTCATAGACATTCAGGAAAGGGTGAATGAAAGAAGTCATGTCAAGTGCATTAATTCGGTGATCAATAGTAACAGCTTAATAGCAGTTGTAGGAAAAGAAACAAAAGATAGAGAAAACAAGCTTTTTATGGCTAAAACTAAAATTCAGTCTACAAATGAAGACAAATGAAAATTAAGACGAAAATAAATGTAAAAATACAAAAATGCACATGAGCAAAAAGTTTTAGAAATGGAGAAGGTGTTACTTTGAAATAAGCAAACAGAAAATAGCCAAGACCAGACAGTGCAGGAACACTTGCAAAATCACAAAGTTACAAAAGAACATGCAAACATGAAATAGATTTGGCTTGAATAATCAGGTGCATTTCTGGCAGACAGAGTATAAAGGTTTGATGGGATAGAGAGTCAGAAAATTTGCACAAATAAAAAAACAGCAATTCTGTCAGAGAGCCTTTTATGAATTAATAGTGAACACGGTTTCATGGAGGGCTTCTAAAATAGTTGGACATTCAGGTAGATTGCCAGGCGAAAGGATTTGTAAATATATTTTGTTAAAGCAAGTCAGTTTTTTACACCACATAAAATACATTTTTCCAAGAAACAAATTTAGCCTTTCTCACTAATGAAACCATAAATAAAGACATAAATATAGAAATCTAAAGATTTTTTAATTCACTGTTGGTAGCAGGATGAACTGTCAGGTTGAGCTAAGTGTATATTTTGTGGCAGAGTCGCTGCAAGAAGTTAAGAGTGAAAACCGGTTTTTAGAAATGAGTCATTTCAAGAAGATTTACAGAAAAGTTATAAATCTAGCAGGATAGAGAAAGCACAGAAATAGGTAGTTTGAGAATGCAAAGCCATTTAGCAAAGAGGGTGTGAGAAGAGTCACAAGCTAGTATACTTTAGATATTTTTTTTCTGAACTAGGGGAAATCTGATCAAGTTTCTCTATAACAATAATATAAAACTTTATTTTATATAGCACCTTTAAAAGTAGCAAGTAGTAGGACCACAGACTACAAAGTAAATATATTCTGTATAAGAAAGACAAGCAGTTAGAAGTGCTACCGAAATAAGAAAATGAAGCAGATACAGACACTAAATAAGTCTTCTGCAAAGAAAAGTTTTGAGGTTAGATTTAAAGGCACTCAGGGTAGGTGGCTCTGATATCACTGGAGATACAAACCCAGAGCTCTGGGGTGCAGCTAGAGAAGGTCCTGTCTCCCACAGAATGTAGATGTTCTTGAGGACAGCTAGAAGACCAGAGTCAGGTGGACACAGATTGCGAAGTGGGAAGTAGACAGATAATAAGCCAGATAGGTACTTAATGAGGATGAGGATTTTGAAGTTGACTCAAAAACTGATGGGAAGCCTGTGCAAGAACTTGAAGACAGGCATAATGCAACCCGGTCATTCTGGTTGTCAAATTCTGAACATATTGGAGATGGCTCAGTGTGGATTTATTAATCACAGTGAACAGGATGTGCATTTATTAATTCCAGAAAAAAAAGCCTTTCTTGATTTCTCTAGTTCCCTTTAAAAGAAACTAAATCGGTGTGATATTCCACAACACAGAGTACTACATGGCCGGTATTTACATATGATATTTGTGATTAAAGAAAATTAACATAAGTTTTTGAGGATTTAATTGTTGGCTGAGTTAATGCAGGATGTAAGACTAGAGATGTTGGTAGGAAAAAGATAATTTTGGGAAAGTTAAGGAATACACTGATAACAAGAACACTTCCTAAAAGGGTTAGGTATACTTTTGACAAAATGACAGGAGACGTTATAGACTGCAGAGGAAGATAATGAAGTTAACAGACTGTATGTTTACATTGATACTGAAATGAGGATGGTATTTTAGACTTTGTGTAGTTGCTAGCATTGAACTGTGTTGGATGCGCATAAATTGAAGGATTGGGCAAACATAGCTAATGGTGATTTTATATTAAGATTATTGATTGCTTAATATTATCAATGATTAACATGATTTTAAATTTAATATTATTGATTACTAATAGTTTATGCTAACACCCAACTTTCTTATTTAGATGTATTTAAAACAATGAACTAAGTTTGACATAACATTCAGAAATAATAATAATAATAATAATAATAATAATAATAAAAATTGCTTATACTTATATAGCGCTTTTTCTGGACATTCCACTCAAAGCGCTTTACAAGTAATGGGGACTCCCCTCCACTACCACCAACGTGCAGCATCCACCTGGATGATGTGACGGCAGCCATAGTGCGCCAGAACGCTCACCATACATCAGCTATCAGTGGGGAGGAGAGCAGAGTAATGAAGCCAATTCATAGAGGGGGATTGTTAGGAGGCCATGATTGATAAAGGCCGATGGGAAATTTGGCCAGGACGCCGGGATACACCAGTACTCTTTTAGAGAAACACCCTGGGATTTTTAATGACCACAGAGAGTCAGGACCTCGGTTTTACGTCTCATCCGAAGGACGGCGCCTGTTTACAGTATAGTGTCCCCGTCACTACACTGGGGCATTAGGACCCACATGAGTCGCAGGGTGAGCGCCCCCTGCTGGCCCCACTAACACATCTTCCAGCAGCAACCTTAGTTTTTCCCAGGAGGTCTCCCATCCAGGTACTGACCACACCTGCTTAGCTTCAGTGGGTTGCCAGTTGTGAGAATACAATCAAGAATAGTTTTGTTGTGTTTTTATAGATTAAACTTTTCTTAAATGTATAACAAAATTAAAGAAGATGAAAATCTGTAATCTTTCCACGTGTAAAAGTACATTAGAAAGTACAATAAGTTCCTGCTTTGTCTAACGATGGTATCAAAAAAGAATGGTGGTGAGAAGTGGTGAGAAAGCTGTGCTTAATGATAATTAAGGGACTTAGAAGTCAAAGAAAATTATTTACTTTGTTTAATTTTAAACACTAAGTTATAAATGCAGACGCAGTTGGTGCCATTTGCAGCCCGCTCTATGGAACGCTCATTGTGCAATACCGAGCTCCGTGCCTCCTCCGTCTCGATGCTGCCTCCCCCTCTGACAGAGCGCAGTGGGCGGTATGCTATTTTCAGACCCTCTGATTGGGGGGAAAAGACCTGCTGATCCGTCCTACATAACAGGATGTCTAATTAAACATTATTATTACAAAAAGAAGTAAAAATCTTACAGTTTACACAAAGATTCTTAGCTGATCACGAGGAAGAAAAATCACCCGTTTTCCGCACATACAAAGTGGTTATTAACTATTTCAACTTGTTTTTTATAGCTTTTTGTAGTCATGCAATGTCTAAGTTAAGCAGGAATACATCATTGCATCTCATTGGAGATTTCTTTTTTAAAAATTAAAAAAAATCGTTTGCCCAGCCTACATGACAGATGTGAATAAATTCAGGTTCAGAAGTCAGATCGCAGGAACTCAGAAACAGGGGAAGCCAGTATGCCCAGAAGGAGAAGTAGTTGCAAAGACCTCCATTGTAACAGAATCAAAGTTTGAAACGCTGCCCGACCTCTCCTGTCTGCAACAGATCTACTTGTGGGACACAGCGCTGCCAGATCAGCTCCAAAGCCAGGTCACATTGCACCATTCATTGAAGAATTCTTAAGGATGCCTACTTTCCCGCCATCAAGTGATAGGAACACACCAAGCCTCTCTAATTAGCACTCTTCCCAAGGGAATAATTCATCTTTGCCGTGTGCTTGGATTTTATGCGAGATAGCAAAAGCTTAATTTTTTCATATTAAGTAATATAGTATATAGTAACTCCATTGCTATTTCACCTCAATTTAAAATTCTTGTTAAACATTTATCTGTTCTATATCTGAGGTAAGAAAAGTGAAAGTTACTTTCTCTTTTTCAACCATTACCTCAATTCGTACCACATGTCTTTTATTTGTATTATTTTTATTCATAGCAAGATAATCTATTTTAATAAAATAAAGCAGTTCTGAACTTTATTCATGGAGATTAACCTCACTACTATCTTGAATTCAGGTTGTTAGGCACTGTGTCTATTATCACATTAACCTGATCTGCAGAGATCATATAAAGGATGGTTTGGTAATTATCTCTAAATCATGAGACCTGTCTCTCTATCTACCTCTGTTTCAATAACATCTAGGACACACAGTATGGTCTCGCATCAAAAAGTGCTTGCAACGGGGTCCAAGGTTTAGTCACTGTTGTGCTGTTCTCCTAGAATACATACACGATTGACTGGAGGTTCAAACAACACTCCTAAAACCATCTGATCCTCATCCCTTCCAAGGCAGAGCTCAAATTAGCCGCTTAGGTATCTCTCGGCTTTCCAGCTAACAGCATCTCCTGTGACTTGCTGCACACTTGCATGATTGTAGTAATTTCACCAAGACACACACTGCTCCTCCAGTCAGTGCTAAATGTTCTGTGAGGGACAACTTGTCAAAAGACAATCTGCAGGTGAGCAAATAGGAGGAACACATCTACATGTCTCATTTTCTTTCAAGGACATACAGGAATCACCATCACAGAACTGAAGCTTAAACAAACAACTGGTAATTCTAAATTGCATGACTATAGAGTAAAACAATTCCACATTTTTAGAAGGTTTTCCATTATACAGGTTTTGAATCTGTATACAAAAACAAAATACCTTCTGATCAGCTCTGCATAAAATGTTTGTCCAAAGAGGTAAAAAAATACCTTAAATGCAAAAGATTTTAATGTTCTGCTCATACAGAGTAAAATTTTAAAGGAAGATTAAAAGTACATACATCGTCATCTTGACTGGGGGATAATTTGGAAGGAACTTTTGATGTTGCTGCCTGAAAAAATAAATAAAACATCTTTTAGACATTAAAAATTCAAGAAGAACAAACCAAATGGCAAACGACTATAAAAGATATAAAATACTAGGTTACACACCCATGTAAAAAAGTGCATAAAATCCCATACAGAAAAACAAACAGTGACATCCACAGAGAGAATAAAGCAATTGACTAAACAGAATTTGGTTGCCTGTAGTTGTGTAACATATACTGTTATGTAAAGTAAACTAAACAATAATACATAAACTTGCATTCTGTGGGATTATATACAGTGCCTATAGAATGTCTACACAATATAGATAGAATACCAAAATAGATTTTGTGGCCTAACAGCCTTAAATCAAGACACAATAAATCAGAATTTGTTTTACCTTTATTTAAACATTGTAACATAAAAGATATGTCACATAAGTGAAAAGCATATACAAAGTCTTACATCTTTTTCAGCCTCTGAAATCACAGCCACAAAGTTGTCAGGGAAGACACCCTCTTTACCATGGAGCTCTCCTTTCCACCAACCTGGTTCTCCTGTGCTCTAAAAAAACAAAAAACGACCAAAACAAACATTCAGGTTATAAAACGGGAGAAAAGCACTTAAAGTTCATACCAAAGTTTTCTAATTTGTTTGACAGATGATCTTGAAGAAGCTCATTGGGTTGGCATTATCAGTACAGTACCTTTAAACATTCTGAATAACTCAATCAGGTTTCCTTACTTGTCCCTTTTCAAAAATTCCAAAAACTCCTCTGCAAAAATCCCATTAAGTATGCTCCTTTAAGCAATTCAATTTTCAAAATTATATTAACCGTTGATACAAATACATTTGAACAAATGCCACTCTGTTGATTTGTAAATATTTGTGACATTGCAAAAAAATGAAATATTCCACAATGGGTGTGTTGCAGAAATCTGCTAGGTTTGTGTATCTCATGGTATAAGTGGAGTTATTTATATTCCAGAGACATGACATGGGGGGGGACAAATTTAGTCTGGAAAGTATTAATGAGAACTACATAATGTTTTCTTGCTAATATGGAAATATTACGAGTAGTGCAAATAGAATGAAAATGTCGGGAAATACAAAAGATAATTTTTGCTAGCCAAATGCTAAACTTGTAATTTACAATTTATGCTGAATGTCAAATATAGCAAAATAGCAACTGCAACTGTACCATAAAAGACTTCTACACAAACTTCAAACTACACAAAAACATGCTTTAGAAGATACGATTCAGCTATTATTCTGAAATAAACATTTAATCAACCAAGAGGGATGGCAACTGATATCAAAGAGAACTAATAATTTTTTTAACAAATATATAGTCTCAAATAGAATCTTAAAAAGAATAATGATTTTGTTCAATAAATCTGCTCCTAGATTTATTTAGATTACATGCATTTATGTAAATAACAGTCCTTGGTCAAATAGCTCAGGCATAATAGATAACATAAAATAGTTATTTTATTATATCAGTTGAACTGTGCAGCAATGTTGAAAGTCACCTAAAAAGTCCACAAGGACAGGAGTTTCACTTTACTGTCAACTAATAGTAGTTGGTATTTGAGGTTAAAAAGTTGTTTTCAATATTGCTCTACAAAAGTATCTACTTGTAAATAATTTATGTGTATGACTGTAATCTTTAACAGTGATTTGTGTTAGTCAAAAGTATTCCTGTGAAAACTACTGCAATAAACTAAGATCAATGGCGTGAGAACTGCACAACACAATGCCCAGCTTCACAAAGTAGAAAAACAACCATAACAGGGGTTAGCAGGAAGGTACTAAACAATAAGCAAATCATGTCATCAGGAAGCATCCACAGGTGAAAGTTATTTACAGGAAACTTTGCCGTAAGAAACCTAAGCAGAAATGGATTGAGGTTTGACAGTTTTTGCTACAATAGAAGATGTATACAAAGTTCATCATGCAAAGATGATTTAAAAATTATAGATTTCCAAACTGTATTAAATCTCAATGGATATATGTATATAGTTGGCAATGAAGTGAACCAAAACAACCTGCGACAGTCAAAGGCCAGACAAAAGTGCACAGTTCATATTCAGTACTTCAGACAAGTCACTGAGCAGATGTACTACCCATCTGATTTTAACAGCCTGTTGAATCTCATCAACAATTCTGTAATTACTTGGTTTGTAATGAAATATGATGGATAATCATTAAGATCAATAAACTAACTTGACAAAAATGTAACAATATGCTGTGTATGATTATCACAATACTTACCAGAGCAGATAACAGCGCAGCTACAGAAAATACAGCTTATTGTTTTATTAATGACCTATTGGAAGAATTTGATGCTAAAGATTCAGTAGGTAGGTTTTTTACTTATGACTGAAGAATAAAGTGGTTCAAGATTATGAATGTTTGCAGTGCACCACTACTTACTCTCTATGTGAAACATACATTAGGGAACAACATTCAACTGGCTATTCAAAACCTATGTGAAAGTACATAATACTGGAACCCAGGTGAAACTATCTTAAAACTTAGGCACATATATAGCATGTCAGCATTTTATATTGTTTATAGAAAATTACTCAAAAGAAAATTTAGAATTTAAGAAATTTAGAAAGATAATTATTTTATTGGGTGTTTCTTTCATGCCACATGATATTCACATGTATGTGTCCATAAATATCTAGTTACTAGGACCTTCTCAAGCCAAATTATCTTAAAAATTGTCACTGCAATATTAGTGAAAGACAAACGACAAATTGTATTTACATTTTAAAAAAAGACAAGAAAAAGATTAACGTGCGTCAATTTAACATTTTTGTTCATTTCATTCTGGTATGTGTTGATATTTTAGCACCCATTTTGCTACAGAATCTGTAGAATAGCTGACAAAGACAGATTATTGTATCACTTCTTCAAAGGAGAAACTAAAAATAATCTAACCTAAAAAGCACTAGGTTATTTTTTGTGTAATAGCCACATGGCATTTCACGGAAATGTTAGGTAAAATACGACACACATAATTCAAAATAACATGTTCCTGTTCACTTTCGAGACTCTTATCAAGGTAGCTGATGCTCAATTTCTAGACCAAGACAAAGCACTGAAATTTCAGAAACCAGACATTCATGAGTAAATGTGATACTCTGCAAAAAGATAATAATGAGGTGTGTGTGTCCTTACCTTGTTCAGTATCAGTATAATGTCACCCTCTTTTAGGCTCAGTTCATCTTCATTTGTTGAATCAAAAGGAAATAAGACCTTGCAATATTCTTTTAAAAAATAAAGAAAAACTGTGGGTTTTCATCTGAAAGATCATAAAAATTAAAACAAACATCCTTCACAGACTTTAAAGATGCAGTTTAATATATTTGATTCTATTTACACAATAATTAAACAGTCATAGGGTTTATGCTTTATGTTCCATCTTGTCTATGAAAAACTGTGAAGACATATTGTAAATGCCATTCTCCATCATATCACTGCGCTTGAAATGTACTGTAAACGGAGAACCCATATCAGAATCTTCACGGAAGAAATCTGGTAGACTAAAAGGAACTCTAACTGCAAAAGGCCTTCAGAAGAAAGTAAAATTTAAATGGTTTTTAAAACCTATGTCAATTACATAAAATTCTGATGATAATTTTAATTATTTGAATATTATTAGATTTAACTGGTTACATTTTCATACATACAAACGAACTGCAGCTGGCTTTTCAGACCTGCTAGATATTTCTAGGAATATAATGAAGGATGAAAATCCATGCATCTTATTAATGACTAAGATAAAGGACACAGGATTTTTTTCATACTGCTAATTATTGTACTGACTGATTTCAATCAAGCCTAGTATTACAAATCATCTTCTAGAAACGCCTTTATAGCAATTTCATATGTTTTGTTTCAGCAACTGCAGACCATAACATCTCAAGATGGCTCTTCTACTTTAACATAAATAACGAAGTATGGAAAATTCAGGGAATTTTACTACTATGCCTATAGCTTCCTTTGACAATGAAGTATGACTTTGCCACACTGGAAGTAATGCATGCAATGCAGGGCATAGCAGACATGAAGTAAAGTGTACTGCTAATGTCTCTTAAGTAGCAGTAGCTGATGTCTAGGATTGCTTAGTAAGACAAACACAGATGCATACAGAAAAAGCTTAGCAATAGATCAATGATAAGATATTTAAACCAAGAACCAAATCCAACAGCTTCATACAGATTTTCAAATCAATCTAAAAAGGTTAGTAAGACCAAGTTAAACTTCCTCACATACTACACTTACCTTTAATTTTGTTATCCCCTTCTACTTTAACTGACTCTGTCATACTCAAATGGGCAGGCTTTGCAGCAGATGGCAATGATGGGAGTGGCTACAATGAAGCAAATCACAGGTGGATTTACTAACACAACAAAACCATGCCACATTAATACTGGTATAGCTTGTATGGAATCGAATTTAAAACTTCCACCAAGGCAAAAAAAACAAGATGAAAAAACAGGATGCCACATCAGGTGAAGGTGAAAAATAATCAATGACTGATACACTATTCTTCACATGCTAATAATACTCAGAGCTATTTCGCTATAATCACAATTTGTTAAAGCCATGGAAGAATATGTTATGGAACAGAGTTGCTGGTAACTGTCAGTAAGTCATTTTGGGCAAAAAGCAAAAAGGAGCCAAGTGTAGTGAGTGAAAAGACATGTTACATGCTGAGGCTGTCAAAAAACAATTTAGATTTTCAATCTGCAACCAATTCACAAGTTTTGCACTAGTCTAAAAAAAATCAGGCAGCTGGGCGATAAACTGACTCATGCGTTTAGAGCTGTTCTAAAACTAAAGGTTTTTTTTTAGCTTCTCGGGTTCTATGATAAGAAAAGAGCACTTTCAATCTGAATGAACAACAATTTACACATAGAAACAAAGACGACATACATTTTATAAATAATAAAATGTGTCAAATAAACCAATACATCACTATTTAATTAAAAGTTTCAGAGTAGAACCAGCTATATCCAAATCAAAGCTTGTTCATCATCCACTGACTTTGTACCACGAAGATGTCTTGTTGGGGCAGGATGAGAGAAGTATGTAGTGTGCACGCAAGTGTCAGGAACATGACCACAAGTGACAGCTAGATGGTTAGAAATGTGAAAATCTCTTCACCTGCTTTCTGTGGCTGCTGTGTCGAATATTTTATGGCAAAAAAAAATCAAATTTTGTCGCAGAACTTGTCATTTCTGAGAAAACCGCAGGTAGAATTTTCGTTTATGTAGGTCTCGAAGATTCTTTTGGTTAAGTTTGGTTTGGACAAGCGGTGGTCACAGTCACATGATTAGGTCACTGCCTTGTTCCCAGGGTCTTGGCTTGGTAAGCATTACAAACTAAATGTCAGCAACTTTTAAGTCATATTTCCAGGACATTTGAAGGTGGCTATTGGTCATGATTTCATCAGGTGTAGCAGGTATCCTCACATGACATATTCCTCATTGGTAGTTTATTCAGTTCCACCGGTGGATTTCACACCACTTGAACAATTACAATGTAGATTACTTCTTTTAAATACATACTCATGTCTGAAAGTTTGTTCCACATCTTTGAGAAGGCAAAGACAACTTTTCATAGGAACTTTTGTTACACTTCCATTATAGAAACAAAACCAACATAAAAAATAAGGCTCTAAAGTAAAGTAGAAAAGCCCAATAATAAACAATTCCTTCTAAAAATAAAATGGAATTGACTAAGACAGGGCAAAACAGGACAGTTAAAGTTTGTCTCCCCGCACTGCCTTAACACATAATGAAATGGTGTTCTTTAAATGTACTAAACCTATCATTATTATGCATCATTATGTTTTAGAATGAATATATGACTCAGCCTGTATTTGCAGCGCAACAGATTCTCTGAGCAGAAAACCAAAATATTTAAGCATAATTAGTAACATAAGACAGCTACTTAAGCAAGGTTTGGATCCTGTCTTGTGAGGCTCCAGGGCTTGCACTGTTTTATTTTAATTATATATGGGACATCTGTATAACTAGGTGCAGTGAATTAGATAATTGCATTGCTATTTTGACGAAATCAGCTCTGGTAAACTTAATTCTACTCTATTCAGTTTCCACTCAAATGTGAACAGAGCTTTTAAAAGTGACAAAAAGTACACATTATGTTCACTGGTTGCTCTTAATTTATGTACTAATTAATTCATTAAGTAGCAAAATGGTGCAAATGTGATACTCCACAGAACATATATAGAGTAAATTATCAGTGTGCCTTACATCTGTAGTAACCATTAAAATACAGTATATAAGAAATACAAAACTGTATTTCTGCTTAAATCACATTAAAAAATCTCTATAGAAAAAACATTATCAGCCCACAACACGGTTAATTTTATAACTGTAGAATAAACAAAAACTGGTCGAATGAAAGTTAAATTAAGCAGTCTACTCACAAAGTTCTCATTTGTCAGACTTTTTCAGCTTAACTCAATGCACTTTTTATTCACTTACCTTTTCTGACTTCTTTTCTTCAGACTCAGAGCTGGGCAATCGGACTTTTAGTTTCACCGACCCCTCTTTGAATATATCTCCAAAACCTACTCCTCTGACTTTTTTGGGCTGCGCTACAACTCCATTATCAGACACCGGAGAGGCAAGTGGAGAGACTGGGGTGCCAGCTACGAGGCTGTCTTTACTGGTGTTCTCTGCAGAGACACAGTAAGACAACACTGATTAAAAAGTCAAACTTACAGCATTACATGTCTAACCACATACCACATCTGACGAGAGAGGCTTCAGAGGAAGTTAAAAAAAATAATGTGAGAAGTCTTTAAGCAGAGCCATGATCACAGCATTCCTGCTTAAGGCAAAAGGGAAGAGTTTACTTCATAACTACAATTATTACATTTGTCATGACGCGTCTTGTAATGTCTTCCAGGGAAAAATCCACAGGACAACAGGAGCTGGACTAAAAAAATGAAACATTTGCATAAATGAGGGATACCAGGTATATTGGAAGCAAAAGCTTCCACACTGTCCTGTCTCACAGGCTAATTAAATAACACTCTAGTAAGGTCAGGGTCAGATATTGGGCAGGCTTGGTTCCTGGCAATAATGGCTAGCATGGTGCCAGGAGGAGACCCCTTTGTAATGCAAGACATCTTAAACTGCAAACGAAAACAGCAAGCAACTGTTTATCAACTGACTGAAAAGTTCTACTTTGGGTGCCAGCATTCATTAAAAATAATGAGCTGAGAACACCACAGATTAGCATACCATAGTCAAGCTGCTGCACACAAACTGCACATCACACATTGCAATGCACACTTGCAAGTCTACTGGTACAAAAAGCACAAATTACCAAGCAGTGGAGAAATGGTCAGGTGAATCATTCTTCACCATGTTCCTCATAAACAGACAAGTACACATACAACACTGTTCTCTACAGCCTGTAAAGGGCTCTGGTGTTGCTGTAATGCTGTGGAGTGCATTTTCCCAGCACAATTTGGGTTTCACTCATTAGATAGCAAGGTCAATGCTAATCATGACTTAATGGAAGAAGCTGACTGTCTTCACCCCATGCTGTACTACCTCTTTCCTGCCAGGAGGGGTGTCTTCCAGGGTGACTCCTGCATCCAGCATGACACTGATGTTATCCTTATGTCATGGCCTTTTCGATCACTAGATGTAACCCAGTCGAGTTCTTATGGGAGATTCTAGAATGACATCCTGAGACAACATTTTCTACCTCCATTAACGAGGTGCAAGATGACTTTCTCATGAAAGAATGGCTTCACATCCCTCCATCAGAATTTCAGACACTGGCAGAATAGCTGGTAGACTCTATATTCTCTATAGCATATTAAGCCCTTAAAGACATGACAAGTAACTCTTTACCAGTCCCACTTCATTGAAAGTTTTTAATTTGTGTTTTTCAGCCTTAAAAAGGTTCTAATTAGGGAGCTCTAGGTAGATGTGAATTATGACTAATTTATTACACATTTCCAAAGCTATTGATCAGGCACCATATATCAAAACTATCAAATAAGAAAAAAAATAGAACTTTATCAAATAAGTAGAACCGGAAGATAAACCTCATTGCTCTCCAGAATATTTCTATAAAAACTGAAGAATTCGTTTAAAAAAAATGAATGTGTCATTTCAAAGTAAAATCACACTTGCAAATGTTTAGGGTCGCTTGATGTTCCATATTTTGAAATCCAAATATATACTTCATAACAAAGATTAATATTAATCAAAACTTGAATATTGAAACTGGACACTTATGGATGAAAGACATTAAATATCTGAAAAAACACCAAAGAAAAATTAAAAACTATAGTATATGTATAAAACACTAACATTCAATAGGAACAGGAAACCTAAACTGTCTGTATGCAATACTATTGGTTCACATACTTTCAGAATTAATACACCTGTCTCTTTAAGGTTCCTCGGTTTGAATTTTAAGCAAACATTCAACTATGAAGACCAAGACGTTTTCTAAACAACTCAGTGCTAAAATTTTAGAATAGCACAGATCAGGAGAAGGGTATAAAAAAAAAATCAATGGAATGTCTTCCATTTGAGTGCGGTTTTAATCAATGAGTGGAAGCTGTACTGTACCACCCAAACACTGCAAAGATTAGATCTTCAAACTGAGCAGCCAGGCAAGTCATAGCAAGAGTAGCAAGAAGAAAAACTTCACACAGTCTGCAGTCTGCGTGCGTCCTAAAGCCCCAGTATAGTGTTGGGGACACTATGCTGCAAAAAGGGCACCATCCTTTGGCTGAGACGTAGAACCGAGATCCTGAATCTCCATTGTCACTAAAAATCCCAGGGCATTTCTCAAAAAGAGCAGTGGTTTTACCGCATTGTCCTGGCCAAATTTCCCCTTGTCCTTTACTTGAGCCTTGAGTGTAGTGTCTAGAAACGTGCTACATAAGGATTATAATTTACATTATAATCATTTACAGGAATTTAACACTTCAAATACTCTGTAACACAATTAAGTGATACTGCAGATGTGCCAATAGGTCTTCCGATCAGACCAGACAAAATTGCAATTTTCTGGTTCAAAGATTTATGCCTGGCACATCAATCAATGCCATCACTGCTGTCATTGCTGCTTGTTACTGGGTTACGTCTCATCAGTATGGGCTGGTATGCTAAAGGTCTAAAATGTTTGAAGATACCATTTTCATCAGGACAATGACCCAAAGCAAAAGGCCAAACTTACAGTGGAGTGCCTTACCAAAAAGAAGTAAATGCTCTTAAATAGCACATTATAAGTACTGACTTGAATGCGACAGAAAATCTGTGGTATGATGTAAACACTGTTGCCCACCAATGATACCCAACCAACATGAAAGAGCTTCAGCAGACTCCAAAGTGAAATGGGAGAAATGCACTGGTGTGCAAAGTTGACGAAGACTTATCCAAAAAAGAGTTGCAGCTCTAAATGCTGCTGAAGGCGATTCCACCATATACTGACTCAGGGAAGGGAAAACTTATGAAATCAAATGTAACAGAATTTCAGGCAAGTAATGCAGAATGGTAAGACTCTCAAGAAATAAAATACAATACTGATCAACCCCAGTTGAGGAGATTTAGAAAATTAAAAAAAGCAGTTTAGAATATGCTTAGAATCGGCAGCTTCATAATTCTTGTGAGGAAAAACAGCAAAATATTCATTCTGAGATAGGCTCAGAGTGAAATAGGAGCAAAACGTTATCCCTTGTGTATTTGATATGAGTCTGTGTATTATCAGCAGAGGGTGTGTAATGCTGCCAGGGTCTGCACAGGCACGGTGCTTTAAGAGAGCTACTTCATATGTGTGAGTACAGCAAATGCATTAACAACAGCAGGTAAGCAGCTGCATTTTGTGTAAGGCAAGTTTCATCACTCTTAGTATTTGTAAAGTTGCAGGTGCCCTGGGAAGGAAGAGTAACAGCAGGAATCTCAGAAGACATGGGTTGAAGAAATGGTCATGATCTTATTTGAACGAACTCCTGAAGGAGGCCGTAAAAGAACAGCAAAATAACATCTCATATTTAAAGAGACATCCCATTTCAAAGTAAGAGAACAAGGCTGTCTGTGAAGACCGCTGTGTGAGTTATGTGAGATTTTGTCATTTATGTGAGTAATGTGAGAACCAGAGAGTAGGTGTGTAGTAGAGAGCCCCTAGAAATACGAAGTACTGTGTAATGAAAAGGGCTTATCTGGCTACTGACCTCTGACTGTATGCATGCAATGAAGACGGTGAGATCTGGACACCGGTGGAAAAGCATTCGCCTGGATACTAGCCTCTGGCAGTGAGTGGTCCAGAGAAAAGGGGTATCAGAGTAGGACCCTCACTATATAAATGCAAAACACGAAGTGGCAAGTTGCACTAGTAAAAACTGAACGAGACAGCGAAGACCGGGAGAAAATGCATCAGAAGCTATGAGTAATGCTAGTTGTGTGTAGAGGCAGTGGTGGCAGGGCACGATAGAGGTGCATTATCAGCTGCCAGTGTATGGCCTAGGGTACGAGGTTGAGTTTTTATTTGAGTGTTGTAAATCTAGGGCATAGAACTGAAGTGCTGGAGACTGAGTGTGTTGTGAGTGTGAGACTCAGCCTGTTGACACAGAGTGTAGACATCAGCCTTGGAAACCGACCTAGAAGTCCGAGTGCTGACTGGTTGAGAGTGAGAGAACCGGTAGCCACTGCTGAGTGAGACTTACAGCAGGGAGAGGTAGGATCCGAATAAGAGAGGGAGCAGGAGGCTCCATATGTGGTGTTTAGGAGTGGTAAAGGCTCCTAGAGGAAAATGGGCATATGAGTAGAAGACTCTGAGCCTGAAAGTTTGCAAGCCAAGAACTCGGAGAAACAGTGCTTATATGCCTTTTGTCCTGGTTACTCCGATGAGGGGGTATCTGTGATCACCACTCTCATTCTCACTAAAGGAAAAGTGGTAAAAAGGTTTTATTAATTTGCCGTGCTGGGTGTGTTATACATTCAGGGTCATACCTGATCCATGCATACATAAAATAAAGCATAATAAAAGATCCCATTAGAACAAGATGTCACACAACAAAAGTATTTGATATTTCTTTGCAAATTTGCAGGACATTTTTTTCACTCAAAGTTTCAACACTCAAGTTTGATTTAAAAAATATTCACTTTAAATATTATATTTACATAACTAGAAACTGACAGAAATGTTAACATTACTGTAATTAAATAAAATGGCATATTATATTAAGGGGGTTAATACGTCAGCAAAGCACTGTACATGTTCTTCATGATTATAAACCTTCCATTTATTTATTTTTTTTAATTTATAAATCCACACATCATATCCTTCTTTTGTGCTGATTTGCCATAATTGGTAAGTTTTATTTCAGTGTCATTCAGTTTATTTTCAATGCACATGCTTCATATTGTGTGAGTGCCCCTGTACATCACCAAATTAGCTGGGAACAAAAAATGCTATCTTGATTAAACACTTTTACTTTCCAAAGCATCACAGCAATACATGACCAACTGTAATATCAGTCCATTTTCTAACCACTCTATCCAATACAGAGTCACAGGGGAGCAAGCAACATGTGCAAGGCAGGATACACCTTGGACGAGACGCCAGTCTATCGTAGGGCATACACAAATACAAGCATGCAATCACTCACACCAGGGACAGTTTTCCCAGAACCCAATCAACCTATCAGTATGTCAATGGACTGTGGGGAAAAAAACAACACAAATGTGAGAAGAGCACATAAACTCCACACAGACAGCACCCCAGGTCTAGAACTGAACCCAGGGCCATAATAATAATAATAATAATAATAATAACATCATATTAAAGACTATACATTTGTTAATTTAAGAAAAAATACATGCGTACCTGACTCATCTGAAACATCATTCATCTCATTATCTTCGGTTGGTTCTATTTCTTTCACAAAATTAGATGGAAACAATCCTGATTTTCCATTCATTGTTCCACTCCACCAGCCCTCTTCAACCTGAAAAAAAGTTTTTATAGAACCATATAAAATCCACACTCAAGGCAATATTACCACTCTCCTGTTTCTAAAATACGATTGGTAACTCATTCAGTAGATTGGAATAAAATCTTTAGAAATATATTGTATTACTTTCTATAGCTTAACTAAAAATATATACCACATACACATATACCACAGAGTTTGTGGTAACAACATGACATTTCTCTGGTACTGCTTGCAAAAAGCTCATAAATTACTGTTTTGAACTTAAAAGGTCTGCTAAGTGGAATACCATAGTGAGGATGACTTTGAAGGCAAAACATTTGAAATATTTTTACAATAAGCAGATATAATCACAAGTAACTTCTGCTTTGAACATGATCAGTCAGACCTTTACTGATGGTCTCAAAATTGTAACCAAAGCAACAGTTGTGCTATTTTTCTTTTTTCTCAAGAACAGAGCTCGGTAAAACAGTCTTCATTTAAAATTAAGTAATGCTGAGCTTACTGTTCTGTTGACAATTGCCCTTGCGTTTCATTTTTAAAAAAAGTTTTAAAAAAGTACTTTAAAAAAAGGCCAGTGTACAATTATCATAATATTTCAGAATCAAACTTCTCCATTTTTATTACCAACAGGGTTACAATCCTCAAAATTAAATACTGGACAATTTACAGAATGGTTTATGTTTGTGTAAAAACAAAAACTAAACCTGGAAGTTTGAAATATATTAGTTTCATGGTATGTGCTTCATTTACTATGAAGAGCTGTATATGAGAAACTGATTAATACACTCTAAAATAAATCTTATATTACATTGTGTAACAAAACATACTACTGATTAATAGTTATGTTAACACTAATAGTGGCAAAATCGCAAAATATTCCATCTTAGTATATTTATTTTGGTCTTCTTCCTCAGTTACAACACAGAACTTGGGACACTAGCCTGTACTTCTACCCAGTCACCTTTATCATTATACTTACAAGATAACAGTTGTTCTTTCAGTAGTATATCTTAAGGTATAGCACTTCATCCTGTGACTAAACTACCTTCACATTAAAGACATTCATTTTTGTATTCTAGAAAAATAAAATGCATCCGTGAATAATTCTAATGTAAAAAACCCGGTACACTTTAAAACAACTTCACAAGAGCACTGAATAAACTAGTGCACTACAACAAACAGATGTGTCACAAGCCCACTTGAGACTAACTCATAAAAAAAGATACCTCTTCATTTATATCAATGACATCTCCCATTTTCAGTTCTAGCTCATCTTCATTCTGAGGAAAGTACTCAAAAAGAGCTCTGCATTGTCGCTTCTTTGATTCTGTAAATAAAAAAAATGAGTGAATACTACTAATAATAATTGCTTACACTTATATAGCGCTTTTCTGGACACTCCACTCAAAGGGCTTTACAGGTAATGGGGACTCCCCTCCACCACCACCAATGTGCAGCATCCACCTGGATGATATAACGGCAGCCATAGTGCACCAGAACGCTCCCCACACATCAGCTATCAGTGAGGAGGAGAGCAGAGTAATGGAGCCAATTCATAGATGGGGATTATTAGGAATTCATGGTTGGTAAGGGCCAATGGGAAATTTGGCGAGGATGCCGGGGTTACACACTTATTCTTTTTTTATAAAAGCTCTAGGATTTTTAATGACCACAAACAATCAGGACCTCGGTTTTACGTCTCATCCGAAGGACTTTACATTTAAGTGTCCCTGTCACTATACTGGGGCATTAGGACTCACATGGACCGCAGGGTGAGCGCCCCCTGCTGGCCCCACTAACACCTCTTCCAGCAGTAACCTTAGGTTTTCCCAGGAGGTCTCCCATCCAGGTACTGACCAGGCTGTTTAGCTTCAGTGGGTTCCTAGTTGTGAGTTGCAGAGTGATATGGCTGCTGAATACTAGATCACCCAGTCCTTGCAGAACTAATTCCAATATACAACAGTGATGTCAAAGTCTGTTACACCTATTGGTATTGTTTAGAACTATTTGGAAAACATACCTTTCAGGAAATACACACCCAAAGCAATTCTTAAGCTGACAAACTATTAATTCTCAGTCCATAAGCCACTGGCCTCAGTTGACATTTCAGCAAGTCAGTCCACAGTAAAGACACACCTCTTTAATCAAACACAGCTGTACAGTACATGAACACTGAGAAAGTCTAGCACACAGAACAAAAAATGTTGTTAAACTTGACTCATACTCAGAACTAAACTGCAGGCACCGTGGTTTAAGTTTTAAACTTTACAAAGCCTGTACAAACTGAAGTAAGGTTTTATTAATGTAAAGTTATTGAAGTTAAATTAATGTTTTTTGGTTTCAGTTAAGAATAATAATTTCGATAAATTACAGAAAACATAACATTATTCAGGAAGAAGGAAATGACTGATCACCTTAAGAACATACACATACATTTATAAGAATGTCTTCTTCTTATATACATAATCAGGACTATAAATATAAATTTTGTATAATCAAATTTCAGTACATTAAAAAATATTTATTTCAACAACCATTTGCATTCTTTTAATTTTTGTTATATCAAAACCAAAAAATAAAAAATGAAATATTTTAGGATAAAAAAGCCATTGAATTCAAGCTTAAACTACACTTTAGAAGGGTTTGTTAAACAAATTTTGAAAAATTTTACTTTAACAAACTAACACAAAAAATGTTTTCCATAAGTTGTGTTGTAGTTAAATACATTAGCAGCCTATGAACATACAGAATAAAAAAGTAAATATACAGCACAACAAAGAATTACTAGTATATGTAAAATGTAAATCAAACTATTTCCACAATTATGAAAATTCAATCTATTTCCATATCTTTTGTGGTCATTATTTCAGTGTTAGTAAGATTTCTCAGTTAGCACTTCCTTGTCTTTAGTTTAACTCTCCAAATAAAAATTAATTGTGGTTATTTATCTTTTAACGTGCGCCTCCTTTTTAAACAGAATTTTTTTGCTCTATTACTATTGTGCAATATCTGCATTATTTTCTGAACTTTATTTTGTCCTTTGTGTCAGAACTAACCTTTTTGAAATGAAGCAACACCAGGAAACACTTTTACATGACATATACTCTATCTGTTAAAATCAGACACAGTAGAAAGATCTAAACTTTTTACTAAAGAAAGTATTGACGACAGTTACATAAAGATCTAAACAGTTTATACATTTGTCCAAAAAACACAGACTTTCGTCATTTTTAAGGCAATGGAGCATAATTTAACTCCCAAAGTAAAATATTGGGAGGAGCGATTATAACCTTTTGACAGGAAAACTTGAAAATGTTTAGAAGTGTCAATGATGCAAAAACCAATGTTAATGTCTTAAGGAAGTAGAAGTCTTACTTTCAAAGGGGAAAAGGGAAGCAAATCTATAAAGAGATGCACAACTTGCTGCAATGTAATTTTCTGCTTTGCTGTTCCTGTTTTTGCTACTGCAAGTCAACTGCAAGGTTTAGAAATGTACTTTTCCTTGTAGCTTTCAATTTATTGATCAGACAGGCTAGACCTCTGTTCAGACACTTTCCTGACTTGTCTATAAAAAAGAAGCTGCTTTCAAATATTTTTTTTCTATGTAGAAATGATGAATAAATGGTTGAACCACTGACTTATAGCCCCAGCAACAATTTCTACTTATCCATGTTAAAACTCATCTTTGATATCGTAGCTCTCAGTATTAGCACTTAATTTAATCGATGACGTTTGATGAGTTTATCACAGTTTATTTTCATCTCCCTTCCTGGTGCTCCTGTTTGCTTCCTCATGCTTTTGTATAATCTGCAAGTTTAACTACATACACAACTACATCAGAGTCTCAATCAATGGCATTGATAAATTGTATCGTAATCAAGGATTACTGGTAATCGGACTATGACAGAAGTATCAATTTTTCATAGCTTAAAATGAAAATGTATCTTTTTATCTGTAGCTTATCAACATTACCTAAGAAATAAAAATGTCACCCTTAAAGAACAGATTTAGTTCTGTAGTTCAGCTGTAGTTACTTACTCCTTCTGAAACTCCTGGGGTTTGACTGTGGTTGGAATCCGCCCGCTGGAAAACCGTAAGTGCTCATCCTCTGTACAAGACTGGCCACATTGCCTGACGATCTCTCTCTCCTAACTGGCCTCAATTCATCTTTAGATTCTGTCTCTTTCTTTATCTCCTTTAAGAAAACAAAGGAACAAAAACAGTTTTGAATCTGTTCAAGAAATATCTAAATGCTAATATACAATATTATACAGATGCACACTTTCTTTCACAAATTGAATATGTGCCACATACTCCATCTAAACCAGGCTCAAGATAAAAGAGAAATCTTTTTTTATATCAACCAAAGATAACTTTTCTATTCTTACAAGACTATATCTGTAAAATGGCAGGTGCCACTACTTTAAAGCTTTCTTTACTATAAAACTTTGAAGCTTTGAAAGCTGTTTTAAGATTTAAAGGGATCAGCTTGTTATACTTCAGCGTTTTCAATGCACAGTATTTTGTTTTCCACTTTTGTTACTGAAGTCAACATGGGATCAATTTCACAGTGACAGACAGCCATACCCTCAACAGAAAATATGTAAATCAGCTAAAAAAATTAAAACAAAATAAAAATCTACACTTGTAATCTAATATATATACAGGGTGTTAAGTTTTTTGGAAAGTCATTTTATTTTTTTCTTTCATCACATTTTCAGAAGCTCTCAGAAAAGACAGCAAATTTTATCATGTGTTTGAATTCTGTTATATTTTAATTTCAAACACGCTCATCTACTGGAATGTCTATCCTTAAATCATCTATTTTCTGTTAGGAACTACAGGCGGTGGACAAAATAGTGTAAACGCCTAATGAAAAGGGACAAGTATTTTGAAGTACATCACAATTAAAAAGGATTCTACACATATATTTCAATACTAATCATCAATATGTTTCCTTTATAAAATCTCTTGCACACTAAAGTGTTAGTTTTAAGTTTCTAATGCAACAAATCTAAGGTATGAAAGAGGTCAAGTAGTTGGTGCCTGAATTGCAGGTGAGTCTGTAAAAGAAACAGCAAAATTATTTACTGTGTAATTTGGAACAGTTTCATAAATCATGACAACATATACCAAACGAGGGAAAACAGCATCAGGAAAGAGGAACAGTGGTCGCAAGTCAAAGCTCACTAACAAGGTCAGACCGTCACTTAATAGGATAGTTGTTAAAAACCACAAACCAACAGACTCAAAAATTACCACAGAACTGAATCTACACATCCTGACAGTCTCAACAAAAACTATGTGGTAAGCTTCAAAAAGCTGATATTTTTGATAGGGACGTTTAAGCAGCAGGAGAAAGTAATATGGCTCGATGAGTTGTCTTTTACTCTTTTTTATAAGTCCGGATGGGTTTATGTTTGGTAGAATTATGGCCAAGGATTACAAAAACATTTTAGGTGACCAAGTACAACCAATGATGCAAACATTTCCTCAGGATATCCAAGAAGATAACACTCTCATACACACTGATGCTCACCAGTGTGTCACTATGCCACCCTTATGTATGCATGGTTTTAGAAAAATAAACCATCAAGATTTTGAAAGATAATTATATGTTTATTTATAATTAATTAATAATTATTGAGAGATTGCAATACATGCATGTGGTTCCGAGTGCTACATACACTAGACCACCAACTGACTGAGGTTATGGGACATAGGTGAACTGCAGATATAGTCTGTTGAATTATCCCTGCTACAAAACTGCAAAAGAAAAAGGACCCTTCATGCACTGTTTACTTTAAGATATACCTGTAATATCTTACAGTAAAATGTCACCCTTTCTACCTACCTAGAGAATTTTCATCTATCATTATGCCTATGGTGTATATTACACCCTGGGGGATGACTGTTTCCTCACAAAAACAGTTTGCTTTTTCCCCCAACCTGGGCACGATCTAAGGCATTTAAATCTGGCAATCTGGACCTTTATAAGAAAGCGAGGTATGACCTGCGGAGAGCTATCAGGGACACTAAAAGGCAATACCCTAACAAGATAGAAATACAAGCTGCCTCTGCTGATGTGCGCCAAATGTGGTGGGGGTATTCAGACAATAACAAACCATAAAGCTAAAATAAGCAGTGTTACATCCCACGTGATTTCTCTCTCCTGGATGAGCTGAATGCCTTTTAGCCGTGGTGTGAGAAGGGAATCATGGAACCGCTGGCACCAGTGCTCCCAGCTGCTGATGATACAGCCATGTCTATCACGGGAAGTTTCAGACGGGTGAACACACAGAAGGTGACTGGCCCATACGGCGTTGCTGGACGGGTCCTTAACTCCTGTGCAGACCAGTTGGCCGGGTTTTTTACGGATATTTTTATTCTTTCACTTTTACAACTTTTCGTTCCCGGGTTTTTTTTTTAAGAAAACTACCATTATTCCATAGCCAAAGAAAAATACTGCGACCTGATTTAATGATTACAGATTGGTCGCACTCACATCCACCATAATGAAATGCTTTGAAAGGCTGGTCATGAGGCACATTAACACAATGGAGTGCCCAGCCCATCACTGGAGTACAGCTTCCCTCTGTTTCAGACATTTTTACTTTGATCTCTCTGTCACTGTTCTCAAAGGGTTTCTCAACTCCCACAGCAGAAAGACAACAGAAACGAAACCCATCCTGAAACTAGGTTCACACCTTTCCTCTTCTCTCAATGACAGGCTTATTTTCATGTCATCTTCTTTCTCTTTTCTGTCATCTATCTTCTCGTGTCATCTTCTCTCCACTTTGCACTTCCTGAGTGGCCTCTCTGCCTCTCCCCTCTCCCTCCTCCTCCACTTTTCCAGTTTTTGGTCTCCTATGCTATTTAATCTTTGCCATCTACCCTGTCTTTCTCACACCTGAAGAAGGCTCCACAGCCGAAACATTGCATTTCCTTTCTTTTCAGTATGGAATAAACCCGTAACCTGGGTAACGCAGCCACCTACTTGAACTATTTTAACTACTCGCGGTCTCAGAAAGGCCGGATGTATCGCTAAGGGTATCAGTGATCTTGGTTTCTCATTTTTCTCCCCCCTTCCCTCTGGTAAGCATTATAGGAGCATAAAGGCACGAACATCCAGATTCAGAAACAGTTTCTTCCCACAAGCCATCAGATTATTGAACTATACCCCTACCACTGGTCCACACTGATGTTTTTTTTTTCTAAGATGCATGTTATTTATCTTGTTTTTGTTGCTGCCGCTGTTCTGCGTTTATGTTTTTGGTGTTTCCTTAATGTCTTTGTATTGGAGCATTCATGCAAATAAGCATTTCACTGCACTTGTGCATATGACAATAAACTGAACTGAACTGCCTATCAAGAGTGCAAACTTCATGCCACCAATGTTAGATACTGCACAAAATCATTGCACAGTCTTTCGCTTTCTGGGGATGAGCAGTTAATAGTAAGTGCTCAAAATATATTTTTTAAATGTATTATGCTAAACACAGCACAATACATAACACTGGTATTAATAACAGACATTACTCTTCTTTCTGTGCAAATGATCTTTGTTAAAACAATGTATGCATTAACAAAATGTGTACATAAGAAAACAAATCGATAGATGGTTTGGCACAGAAAGAAAAACAAAATCCTATTAAATTTTATGCTGGAGTTAACAACAGCAGAGACATTTTAGGAATTCTTAAATTTAAAGAGCACCGAAATCTGCCTAAGGTATTTCCAAAACAAAAGCAACAAAACAAGCAAGGCAATAGAATAGTTTTACATCACAAGAATGCCATCTTGTGGCTAAAAGACGTCTAAATCTTATGCAGACAAAAACAGATATAATAATAATAATAATAATAATAATAATAATAATGTTTCTTTATTAACCCTATACAATTTCTTGCATTAGGAATTCGTCTTTTCGCATACCCCAGCTTTTCTCCATGGAGACACAGACACACAGGCAGGGAGAGAAGCTTGGGGTCAGAGCGCAGGGTCTGCCATTGTACGGCGCCCCTGAAGCAGTTAGGGTTAAGGGGCTTGCTCAGGGGCCCAAGGGACCTGGCTCTGCTCCTCTGCCAGCTGTGGGATTTGAACCAGCAACCTTCCAGTCACAGGCGCAGATCCTTAGCCACCGCTCCGCCCATATGGAAATGTTTTTGCCAGAGGGAAGATGCATCAGGGTATCAACAGGAAATAAAAAAACAGACATATACAGTGGGTATACCACCCCCTTTCAAAATTTGTACCTTTTGTTGTATTAAACTCTGAAAAGAAAAACAAACGAAATTAGGCTTTTTTATTTTTATTCCATTTTTACTTACACACAGTAACTCACATTAGCCAAGTGAAAATAAAATTCTAAAACAGTCTGAAAATTAATTAATATTACAACAATAAAATACCTTATTTGGATAAGCGAACACCCCCCTTACAATTGCATTTGTAAATCACCTTACACACAACAAACTAATTGGCTCCCACCTGTGATCAATTGTGCTTATTTTGATTAGTTCAGAATAAAAACAGCTGTTTCTAGACGATTCCACTGCTTGGAAGTGCATTTCAAAGAAAATAATCCACTATGGGCAAAAAAGTGCTTTAAAAAAAACATCAAGATAAAGTTGTGGAAAGGAGATGGTATAAAGTCAGGAGATGGGTATCCCATGGAGCAGTCAAGACCGTTATTAAGAACTGGAAGGCGTATGGCAGACCTTGCCTAGATCAGGCCGTCCCTCCAAACTGGATGACTGAGCAAGTAGGAGACTGATCAGAGAGGCTACCAAGAGGCCGGTGGCAACTTTGAACGAGCTACAGGCCTTTTTGACAAAGACTGGTCATTGTGTGCATATGACAACAATATCACAAGCGCTCCCCAAATCTGGCCTGTATGGGAGGGTGGCAAGAAAAAAGCCACTCCTTAAAAAAGCCACATCAAGTCTCGTTTATGTTTTGCTAAAAAGCACCTTAAAGATTCTGTGGCCAGGTTGCAAAAGGTGCTGTGGTCAGATGAGACCAAAATTGAACTTTCTGGCCGGAATGCAAAATGGTACGTCTGGCAAAAACCGAATATATCTTACCATCCAAAGAACACCATGCCTACAGTAAAGCATGGTGATGGTAGCATCCTGTTGTGGGGGTGTTTCTCTTCAGCTGGGACACGAAGGTGAATATTCTTGAGTGGCCTAG